CCACTTCCCCATGTCTATGCTGGGATTTTGTCTGGATTGAGCTTACATAGTACTTGTATGTGCTGTCACCATTGCTGTGAGTTTTTATGAGTCACTGACCAGCTTGTCTGGAAGATCGTTTTCTTGTGGCCATTCACAACCTTTGGTTCTTACAAGCTTTCTGCCTCCTCTTCTGCAATGATCCCTGATCCTTGGGAGGCAGAAGTTTGAGATAGATGTCCCATTCATGGATAACCACGTAACCTCTTGTCCTCTGCACACTGGCCAATTGTGGGTTTTTGTGTTAATCACCATCTGCTGCATAAGGAAAATTCTCTGGTGACAGTTGATATTCATATTATGTGTAGAGGTTGCATTTTAGATGTGTCACTTAGGGTTAAGTGTCTCACAGACACTTATTCTCTGTCTTTGACCAGTTCTGGAACTCTGTAATAGTCTCCATCTGTTGCAAAATGAAACTTCCTTGATGAGGGGTGAAGGATATACTTGTCTGTAAATATGAGGGTGCATATTTAGAATAAAGTAAGAAATTACATTGGTCTAGGGATGTGGCAAAAGTCAGTTTTTCTCTAGGATCTATGACCTCTTCAGCCATGTATATCTGGCTATGTTTTAAAGTATCATACATGAGTTCCATCTCAATGAACAGGCCTTAATTCCAATGAAACTGTGGTTGATTAACCTCAAGATAAAAGGGTCACTACTTTACCAATAGCTATAGTTTGTTGTTTATTAGGCTTTACAGCTGGGTAGAATCATTGATTGATTTTTCTCCCTTGGCAAGTTGGATAGTATCCGCTGATGCCATGAGAGCTAGTCTTCAGGGAGGAGGCTTCCAGGTCATTTCTAGCTCATCCTTTGTCTGAAGTCCAAAGTGTGGCCTGTCTTCCACAATAGGGTCTTACCTTCAAGTCCTGGGAGGCAAGCAAGATCTGTGGCAATAACCTGTGTCAATTTTGGAGTCTCTTGGAGTACACTGCCCAACAACTTGAAAGGAGGTTTCTCCTGCTTGGCACTGTGTTTTTTATTATATAGCCTTCATCTATACACATGTACTCATATATTTATTGTATATGTGTTTGTCAGTAGAACTTTGAACCAGTCCCTCTGGGTTTTCATACCATCTAAGCATTATTTATCTCATTTCTCACTTCCCCTGTATAACCCTCCCTACTCTCTCCCCAGTTAAAGTACCCCTTTCCCTCATTTTCCCCTTAATAACACTTATCTCCTATAATCCCCTTCACTTGAGATCCTTCTTTCCCATTATCCCCATGGTTCCTTTCCATTTTCCTGGCTCCTGTGGACACATCAGGATGTATTATCATATCTAAGGATTTGGAGCAAAGATTCACAAATGAGAGAGAACACATAACACTTGTTTTTCTGAGTCTGTGTTACTTCACTTAGTTTCATATTCCTATTTCCATCCATTTAGACACAAATTTCATAATTTTGTTTTTTTTTACCTCTGAGTGGAACTCCATCATGCAAATGTACCACATTTTCATTATCCATTCTTCAGTTGAGGGACATTTAGGTTATTTCCATTTTTTAGCTATTGTGAAAGGAACAGCAACAAACATAGATGTATAGGTATCTCTGTAGTAGGATAAATCTTTTGGGTATATGCCAAGGAGTGCTATGACTGGATCATATGGTAGATTCATTTTCAGTTTTGGAAGAATCTCCATACTTATGTCCACAGTGCTTGCACCAGGTTGCAATCCCACCAACACTGAATGAGGGTTCCTCTTCCCCCAAATCCATGCAAGCATTTGGTGCCATTTGTTCTCTTAATCTTAGCCATTCTGACTGGGGATAGATTGCATTTTCCTACTAAGGATGTTGAACACTTTTTAAGGTGTTTCTTAGCCATTGCTATTTCTTCTTTTGGGAGCTCTAAGTGCCGACACATAGCACATTTTTTTAAATTAGGTCATTCGCTTTCTTCATTTTTTTTATTGTTGTTTTTTGAGTTCTTTGTATATTCTAGGTATTAATCCTCTCTCAGATGAATAGCTGGTGAAGATTTTCTCCCACTGTGTAGAATTCCTCTTCATTCAATTGGTTGTTTCCTTTGCTGTACTGAAGCTTTTTTAGGTTAATGAGGTCCCATATGTCAACTGTAGACCTTAATTCATGAGCAACTAATGTCTGATTTAGAAAGTCATTTCCTGCAGCTCTGTACTGTAGGGTACTGCCTATGCTTCCTTTTACTAGTTTCAGAATTACAGGCTCCATTCTGAGATCTCTGTTCCATTTGGAGTTGACTTTTGTGTAGGGTATGGGTCTAATTTCATTCTACATGTGGAGATCCAATTTTTTCAGCATCATTTATTGAAGATGCTGTGGCTGTAATTGCATGCACACATGTTTGGGTCTTCAGTTTTGTTCCATTGATCTATAAGTTTGTTTTTGTGCCAATACCATGCTGTTTTTATGAGGATAGCTCTGTAATAGAGATTGAGGTCTAATATGGTAAACTGCCCACCATTGCTCTTTGTGCTCAGAATTGCTTTGGCTATCCAGGGTTTTTTTGTGTTTCCTTATGAATTTTAGATTGGATTTTTCTATTTCTGTGAAGAAGGTCCTAAGGATTTTCATTGGGATTGCACTGAATCTGTAAATTGCTTCTGGTAAGGTGGTCATTTTCACTATATTGATTCTGCCAATCCATGAGCACAGGAGGTCTTTCCATCTCCCATTTCCTTGTGTCTTCCTCAATCTCTTTCTTCAAAGATTTAATGTTTCATTGAAGAGGTGCAAATTGATATTTTGACAACTTGATACTTCTTTAAACCTATCTAAAAAACCTTCCATACAGCATTCTCTTATTCTCTCTCTCTCTCTCTCTCTCTCTCTCTCTCTCATTAATAAATAGGAACATATTCCAGCCCTCTTATTCTATCATTGTACTGATTTGTTTAAAAACAAATATCGAGGCGGGCATGGTAATGCACGCCTGTAGTCCCAGCACTTGGGAGGCAGAGGCAGGCGGATCTCTGTGAGTTCAAGGCCAGCCTGGTCTACATAGTGAGTTCCAGACAGCTGGGGCTACAGAGAGACCCTACTTCAAAAAGACAAAAAAAAAAAAGGTTATTGAGCTGGTGAGATAGCTCAGCTGGTAAAGGCACTTGCTGCCAAGTTTGACAACCTTAGTTTGATCCCCAGAACTCCCATAGTATAAGGCAAGAACCAATTCCCACAAGTTGTCCTCTGGCCTCCATACATGTATGCCTGGCACTTGTGTACACACACACACACACACACACACACACACAAATAAATGTAAAAGTAAATGTTTTACTGTGAGATATCATTCGCCATAAGGATGGCAATGAAAAAGAAGATCAATAGTGAGAAGCAAGTTTGAGGATATGAAGAAATTGTAACTCTGAACATTTTACAAGTGGGAATATAAAATGGTACAGTCATTTTGGAAAGCAGTTCTGGAAGTTCTTCAGCGGTTTAAACATGGTCATCACATTCCTAAGTATATATTCATAAGGACTGACAACATATACATACACGTAGACCTATATGTGAATATTTGTATTAGTATGATTCATAATAGCCAAAAATTTTTAGCAACTCAATGGTTCAACAACCGGTGAACTGGATAAATTAAATGTGGTATATTGTACAGTGGGATATTGTTTGACAAAAAAAGATGATCAATACCATAGATGACCCTTAAATTTATACTGTTTTAAAAAAGAGTGATTCATGAAGATGATCTATTGTATGATTCAATTTATATGAAATGTGCAGAATAAGTGAATGTAGAAAAGGAAAATTATATTAGTGATTGCCTAGTGCAAAGAGTTTGGCAGGAGGAATAAAATCAGTTGCTAATAGTTACTTGGTTTCTATGTAGGATAATGAAAATGTTCTAAAATAGATTGTGATGATGGTCGTACAACTCTGAACATGCTAAAATAATTTAACTATAACCATATGCTCTAAAAATGGGTTATATTATATATGAATTATATCTTCAAAACAGTTGTTTAACAAACAAAATATGTATGCTTGATAGTCAATACTAATGTTAGGAATTCTGACTCTTTCAGTTCCTTGTGGCCAGACACCAACCCCCTTGCCAGGTCCATTGTGCTTCATTGCCATGCAGCATATCATTGTCTAACAGAATAAATTTGCTCATTTACTTAATGACAAGGAAACAGACCACATTATCTCTTAGATCTTTTAGACCTATGTATAGGTCTATGTTTTAGTAGACCACTGGACACAGAAAATAGAACCATTTTTCTTGACTAAAAGCAAAAGAAAGACATTAGGCCAATTACACTCAACTGAATATAGTAGAGCAAAGAATGATTCATAGATGGGTAAGCCCTCAGAGCCAGCAGAGATTGAGAAAGCTGTCCATGGTGTGAAGGCAACATTTCTGAACAGCACATGGAAGTGAGCTATGGAAGAGGCTTGACTGATTGCAGCCATGATGAGTATGGTCTCATCCACTGGCAGCCTGCGAGTGATGAAGCTTGAGTACTGTGATTCACGAAGAATCAGCTATTTCTTACAAAAACAAATTCCTAAATTAAGCTCTTAGTTTACATAATAAGATTATAGTTCATCACAGAGGAACTCAAAATAAGAAGGCAACTTCAGGCCAAATTTATTTAACACTGGGTAACTGTTTTAATAAGTAGAAGGTGTTCTGTCATCACTTGGATTGAAATTCCAGACACCACTACTTGTGAGCAGTGAAACCTTGTTCATATTATTATTTTCAGTTTCCACACAAAAGTGAGGATATTACCCATAGCATAAGGTTTTATGATAATTTTATGTAGAAAACTTTAGCATATGTAATTTGTTGAATACTTTTATAATTGCTGTTTGTGTTTATTGCTATTTATAATAAGTGGTTTCTAATCAAGGGCTTTCCTCTAAAGTAGTCATAGTATCCTTTATGACCACTTACTGTCTGTGCTCACAAGCACTGTGAATGTGTACTGTTCTTTTAACAGGTACAGCATAAGAGATATGATGCAATTCTTAAGCGCTTGCATTGTCAGGTGAGCAAGCTTCGGTTAAAAAGAAGTAGATTGCAGTCGAACATCCAGCAACTGGAAGAAACTGTGGCTGAGCTAAAAAGGCGTATCAAAATGAAAAAATAATGTGAAATACAGAGCAGACCAACAACATTATGGAACAGAATACATGAAAAACCTTTGATCTCTTAACAACCAGCCCCCAACAACAGAAGCCTGTATTAATAACAGATTTTGTCCTCTTCTTTCCTTCCTCAGTCCCTGTCTTCCTCCCTCCTCCCTACTTCCTCCTCCTCCTCTTCCTCTTCCTTCTTTTTTGGATCAGTTATATATTGGTTAAAGTACCTTCCAGTCATACAGTGACTAGCACCAGGTAGACAATAACAATGCTTACAGGAGGCTAGTTGAAAAGTGTATATGAGTATTTCGATTATTGCATTATACTCATAAATGCCTGTTTATAACAATGTGGAATTCACTACTATACAAAGTAGCAATTTAGAAGAGAAGAAACAATTGGATTTTCAATGACTTCATGTTGATATTAAAAAATAGTTGTCTTCAAACTTTTTATGAGATCTTGCTTTTTTTACAACTGCCTTTACAGTAACTCATAAATATTAATATTCACAGTAATGTCATTATATGTTTAGTGCTCCAAATATTTCACTAAATTTTCTCTTTTCTCCAGGAGGTAGCAATCATTTTCCTTTGTTATTAAATAACATATTTTAGAATGTTACAAGGCATAAAATTTGTGTTCACTTTCCAGTCTATAAATTCTTATTCCTAAATTGTGACTAAAGTAAAGTTATAGCATCATATAAGGCAAACAGAGTCAAGCTCTTAAAAGAAATATTAATCAGAGGAGATTAACATATTTTCCTCATTGAAAGGCAAATATTTTATCAGTGGTAATAAATCAAATGTTAAAGTGCTTTAAGATAAAAGTGCTCTCTTTCATTCTCCATTGATCAAAAATACACAGAAGCAAAAATAAAATGCTAAGTATTAAAAATACGGTTTTAAAATATTCACTTGTAGCCGGGTGTGGTGGTGCACACCTTTAATCCCAGCACTCCGGAGGCAGAGGCAGGTGGATCTCTGTGAGTTCAAGGCCAGCCTGGTCTACATAGTGAGTTCCAGGACAGCTGGGGCTATAGGAGACCCTGTCTCAAAAAGACCAAAAAATCATAATAATAATAATAATTCACTTGTAGGATTAAATTATTTCAAAGCAGCAATATCAAGAAGATTTTTAAAATTCATTTTCTCTTCACCTTCCTACATACCTAACATTCAGCAAGTGTGTAGCGATACAGACCCTGATATTAGTAATCTCGTTATGACTGATGTTAATAGTCTTAGTATAGCTTATTATGGTTAACACTTCAAATGGCTTATCCTCTAACATAATCAGCTTTGTTCTATGACTCAGAAGCACAGCTACAGATGGAAGTAGTTAAATCTTCAGATTGTGGGAGCACTCACTATGCTCAACTGAAAACAAAATTGAAATGCTGAATATATAGATGTATGTTAGTATAATTCATGTGTTAAAAGTTCATAGACTTATACAACATAATTTTAGATACAGCTTAGAAAACCTCTAGTTTCCTAATCTCCTCTTAAAGTCCATAATCATGATCACTATCATCCTGAGTTGTGTTTTAGGAAAATCCAGTGTGAAAGAATTGCCATACAGGTAGAAGGGCTAAGAAGCCCCAAACAGAGGCAGACACATCTAGAGTTGCAGAGTGTGGTTTACTGGGGGATTATCTTAGTTTCTTTTCCTGATGCTGTGATAAAATATTCTGAAAAAGCAACTTAAGGGAGAAGGAATTTATTTCAACTCCTAGTTCCAGGTTACAGCCCATCATGGCCAGGAAGTCAAAGCTTAAAGCACCTGTTCACATTGCATCCTGCTCAAGAGGGCAGTGAATGCACGCATGCTAGTTGCTTTCACTGCTCTTACATAGTCCAGATGCCTTTCCCAGGGAATAGTGGCACTCTGGTGAGGGAGGGAGGGTTCTTCCCACTTCAAAGTCATAAGGTAATCCTTAACAAAGATGCCCAGAAGCCCATCCACCAAATGCTTCTAATTTTTGTCAAGTTGATAGCACTAACCATCACAGGGAATTACCATCTGAAGCGTAGTCAAAGGTAGTATATCCCCATGACTGAGGTCAGAGGAAGGAAGCTTTAAAAGGGTGGCTTCCTTCTAAACCATAGTGCGCCTGGTTTATCTCAAGGTAACATCAATGACGTCAAGCATATTGGCCCCTTCTGCTGACACTGCCAGGATCTGGTCTCAAAGCTCTATATACCACTCTAATGCTTTTGTTTACCTGCACTATGCTGGGAAACTATGCAAGGGGCAAGAAAGTCCCAGGGCTTTTGGGGGGCAACCATGGTGATTACTTCTGAGGACCTGACCTGAAGTTAAGTCAGACTGAAACTCAACAATTACATATCTAAAACTTCATTTTTAAATAAATATAAAAAGCAAATATGTTAAAATGCTTCAGGCAATGTGTCATATTTGAGAAAACAATGTTCAAGGTATTTTAAAAAATATATGATGGTAATTTGAAAGAGAACTTTTATCCTTTTTAATCATGAAAATGATTTCAGGTAATGGAGGCTTTCATAGTAATCAAGAACTAGGAACTGGGTATGCTGACTCATGTCTATAATCTCAACACTAGGGAGGCTGAGGCAGGAGAAGTATTGGGATTTTGAGGATAGCCTTGGCTACGTAGTGAATTTCAAGCCAGTGTGGGCAATACGTTATAAGACTTTGTCTCAAAGACAAAAAAAAACAAAACACAAAAGCCTAAACAAGGTAATATCAAGCCTGATGATTTAGTGTGGTATTTCTGTACATTCATAAAGTCTAAGCTTAGAGAAATAGTTTTGTTTTTAGATAGCTCAGTTTTATATGTAGTGTTCTGTATTAAGTTCTTTTCTATTACTAATCCAAAATACCTGAGGTCTGGGTACTTCTAAAGAAAATTAGTTTTTTTAGGCCACAATTTTGACAACACAGGCTATGCCCTGGCTAAGCACCCCCTTTGCTTTAGCCCCTCAATGGTGGGAACACCTGCAGGAATGATAGATTACATTGTTAGACCAGAAGTCAAAGAGCCAATGGGGGTTAATTGAGGTCCTAGGAGAACTGTATTGATCACTTCCGAGGGCATATCACCAAAGAGATCAGGACCTACTACCTCAGTATTGCCACGATGAGGACCAATCCTCAACACATGAGCTCTTGAGGGATGCACTCAAATCATATCCAAACTATGACAATGTCTTTCTAGCACAGGCTTCTACTTAAAAAAAAAAAAAACAACAACAACAAAAAAAACTCCTTTGGATAGTTTATAATGCTCCTCTTCCTCATTTTCTTCTCCTTAGAAGTGGTCTAAGTCCTGGGGAACTGAAGTTCTTTTGTCATTGGAGGTGAGGCTCTGGTTCAAGTGCCATTCTCTGACCTCACTGACCTCTGCAAAATGTAATCCACTCTGTCTGGTCTTAAACATTATCTTCTGCCTGTGCTGAATCTTCACTTGCTTCGTCTATTCATGGGCAATATAAATGGCTTCTACATGCTTTTTATCAGACCATGTATCTTCCAGTTAACTGACTAATTGTGCTGTTTTCCAAAGCACTACATAGATACCCAATCACAAAGCCTCTTCTGGTACTATTTAATTCTGTCTCTGCATGTGCTGGCCAAATTTCCTCTTTGTTATTCCACCCATGCATTTTTCCACTCAGATTCCTGGTATAAACCAACTCTGGCAGTTCCCTTTGCTTGGAATGACTCAGCAAATTTTCTATCTCTCAAAATACCAACTCTTCTTAAAGCTGTGATTTATAGATATCATTTCTGGAATGGGCTTTAAAATCCTAATATGAATCTCAAAACTGTCAAGTGAATTCTTAGTTCTCAGCAGTATCTGCCTGCCCCTAGCCTGCTAAATACTACTACCTAAATGAGCAGGAACACATAATGAATGCAAAGAAGTGGGGGGAAATAACTTTCAGTTACTATCTCAAAATATTAACTCACAATGACAGAATGTGTGAATTGAAGAAGAGCCATAAGCCTCATTAGAGAAATCAATAAATCCCTTAAAGTGGCCAACTAGCCCTAAATTGACAGCTTGGCTTTGCTCAAGCATTATCAATTGCTTGCTCCCTGGATTGCAATTGCTTGCTCCCTGGATTGCGGGAGACTATTTATGGAGCCAACCTGTCTCGTCTAGCACCCTAAGATAGCTCACCTACCTGAGGAACTAATCTGGGGAGAGAGACCCTCAAGGACACCAGACCCTGGCATAGAGTTAACTCTTGAAGCTGTGTGCAGCAGAATTCCTATAGAAGTGGAAACTATCCTCCCTTCTATGCAGATGCCTTCTTCTGAAGAAAGGTTTGGGCCCTTTGCTGTGTTCTCTGAATAAAGAGGACAGATTACCTGCCTGTTGTAGGTCTGGCTCTGACTCTTATTTCTAAACTTTAAACTCCTTCCTTTTTTGCTCTCCTAAATCTAACACACAACATATGCAGTCTATGGGAAATAAGAGTTGACCAATATGAGTAGACTGATATCTACTTGGAAAGCCCTATTTTAGTAGCCTTGGAAAGCACCAGACTGCATGTATTAAAGCCAATCATGTTGTACATCAAGAATGCTTTCATGGCCAATATAAATGACTTGTACATGTTCTCTTTTAGACCATGTCTCTTCCAGCCAATTGACTACTCATATTATTTTACAAAATACTACTGTATTTCTGTTGGTGTGATAAAACATTGTGACCAAGGGAATTTGTAAAAGGAAGAGTTCATTTGAGCTTATGGTTCGAGGGAAATTAGAGTCCATCATGGCAGTGAGGCATGGTGGCAGAGGTGGCTAGAATAGAAAGCTTAGTGCTCACATCTTCAAGCAGACACAGGAAGCAGAGAGTAAACTGGAGATCCAACATGGCTTAAGAATTCTTCAAGCCTGCCCCCAGTGACATGCTTCCTCCAGCAATGCCACACATTCTAAGACCTCCAAATAGCACCCCCAACTGGGGAGAAAATGTCTAAATACTTGCAGCCTATACGAGACATTCTCATTCAAACCACCACAACTACATATATGAAATAACTCTAAGCAATAATAATATACTGAGTGAATATGCTATGCCTAATTTGGCAAATGGCATACATTATTTCATTTAATTTTCAAAAAACAGTTTAAGGTATATATTACTATACCTTAAACTTATACTATTATAAACTTTTACTATCATACCTCTGACTTACAGGCAGAAGAATTTGGGCTTAGACAATTTGTGTAACTTGCCTAATACATAACTGCACAGCTCAAAGGCAGAGTTGAAGTTCAAAGTCATATTTTATTTGTGTGGCACCACAAGAAAATGATTCTAAGAGTGAACTTCAATGTAACTATAAATTAGTAACAATTTATGTTTATATTTAATGAATCATTTTGATAGACTATTGTTGCAGGTTTCCTTGAGGGTCCAGCCCACG